GCTCCCACAAATGAGATACCAAAGGATACGAACAGCTCCCATATATAAAAGATCAAATATCAGTTTGCTTTGGAAACCAAATTTGTTTGAGTTTGGGTTTCTGACGCCACAAGTACAAAGCCTTAGGACAATTTCTACTAATATGACCAGGATGTAGGCAAACAAAACAGGTCAATAAACCAGCCTTGTTATAACTATTATGATGAGACCTATTCGGTTTGAGATTGGTCCTCTTCTTACCATAATGCAGCCTATTGTGCACATACCTATGGTTAACATTTGACGTGGAATGCTTAACTCTTCTACTAAGAATTTCAACATAATGAGACTGCGATGGACTTAGAAGATGAGGTCTAACTTTGTTGGGTTTTTTGACAGTAGAAATAATGCATGCTTTGCTACCAGATGAGGAAGCGGAATATGATTTACGCTCTAACAGCTTGTATATATGATTATTATCCATTCTAAGAACCTCATTCTCACGTTGTAGCTCGACAATCTTAATGTTATTTAACTATATGGTTCTAGTAAGATTGACTATCTCAGTACCCTTTTTACCAATCTCCTCCTGAAGACAGCAATACTTAATTTTCAAGCTACGACACTCATCCTCTAAGTTTTTCAAAGCACACAAGAAATTTTCAGAATTTACCTTTGAAGATTCTGAGTTCGACTTTACTTCGATGTGTGTTGATTTGAAGGAAAGATCCTCATCAACATCAGATAAACTGGATTCACTGTTCAAAGTGAGAGCCATATATGCTTTTTCATATATTCTGCCATCATCTTATCTGGATTCATTATCACTCCAGGTGGCCTCCATTCCAGTTGCTTTTGCCTTCGGACTTTGAGGGCAGTTTGCACGAATGTGGCCGAGTTTGCCACATTTGTAAGAGCCTTGCGGCTCCTTCTCTTGAGTACCTGCACTTAAGTCTCTGGTCTGCTGTGAAAGCAGCCTATCACGGGAAAAAAGGTTTGTTACGATCATACAAACTAGGCTTATTCAATTCTCCACCACGACATTTCTGCCCAGACTTATACTTTAGCATTCTATGAAACTTTCGACTGACTAGAGCAAATTCTTTATCAAATTCAGTGTCATTATCCGACTCATAGTCATGAACTTGAAACTTGAAAACTAAAGAGTGCCTGCGTTTTTCATCATCACGGTCAACCTTCTTAATGACATGCTCGTGATTGAGCAATGACCCGATTAACTCATCTATAGCTAAGGTATTGAGGTTTGTAGCTTCTTCTATTGCTGTCCGTTTAGGTAAACATTTCTTAGGGAGGGACCTAAGAATCTTTCTAATCAGGTCTTTAGTAACAAAGGTCTTACCTAAACCCTTTAGCTTGTTGATTAATATGGTGAATCTAGAGTACATGTCGTGAATATTCTCACCTGGCATCATATCGAAGGCCTCATATTCGTGCATGAGAGATCGATGCGGGTCTTCTTGATTTTAGATGTGCCCTAATACGTCATTTCCAGAGTCCGCCAGATTTCACGAGCGGATACACAGTTCTCAACCTTTTCGGCTTCGTCGGGGACCATGGTGGACTGGAGGATATGCATGGCTCGTTGATTGAGTTGAGCGCTCTTCTTCTGAGACGCGGACCACAGGTGTTGTTCGTCGGGATTCGTCTGGATGGGACCGGTTTGAACGACTAGCCATAGTTCCTCATCAACACCCCACATAAACTACTTCATCCGTTTCTTCCATGTCCTATAGTTAGCGCCCGGTGAAAATTGGAGGATGATTAAGCGCTGCCTGACCGAACGAACTGGACGTCATTAGATCTTTGCCTTGGCAGGAGTAACCTTCGTCAAGACCCGTGCTCTGATACCAATCGAAATAGGGTTAGTGAGAATTAGGGTTTGCGGAGATTTGGGGCAATCGGTACTGAAGGAGACGAATGGGAATGATGGAGTTCGTCCAATCTCCTCTGCTTAGAAGTTCTCTTTCGTTTCAGAATTTCTAGGCCCAGCTTCTAGCAAGCCCACAAGAACAAAGCCAAATAAATGAAAAGAGTGATTCAAGCCCACAAAGGTACAGCCCACTAGTTCTGAGTCAAAGACTCTTCTTCTTCATTGTATAGAAGAAAGGCTAGAACCAGAGCTGTAAATTTGAAACAGGGGTCAACAGAAAGAAATCAAAATAGAGCAATGCAACAGAAAGAGAAGGAAAGAAAATGAACAAGAACACGGGTGATTTTTAACGAGGTTCCCAAATTACTGGTCAATACTTGTCCTAGACCCAGTACTCACTAAGGTCTAGGAGATTATGTTTTTTTTTTCCCTATTAAGCAAGAATGAACGAAAGATGTATACTCAATGAACAAAGAGAATTGAAAACTGAAACACCCCGGATCCCAATCCCAGACCCGTTACACCGTCGATCAAACAGAACCTCTTCCTCTGTCTTGATTAACCCCTTTTGTATTATAGCCCTATACCGCCTTTTACAAAAGTTACCCGGTAGAAGACAGAACTGCAGATATATATATGTATGTATATGTGTCTCTTCTAGTCGTTGCTGCACTTCTACATAAGGAAGGAGGTTTAAGTTTGAATCTCTGCTGAGCCAAACCTTCATTTTCTTCCCCTTTCCGATTTTGGCAACATTGATTGTACAATCTCTGATTTCGTTCAACATGTCCCTCCTAATTAAAAGACATATCTTCAAGCTCTTCGATGGATAGTGTCAATGAATTTGTTGGCCAACGCAATTTAAAAGAAGTGATCCATTTGTGCTTGAAGTAAATAGAAATATATGGGATTAATGAAAAGCTGGATATATATATAACAATCATGATAGATCCATGGCTTGGATATCATCATGATAATCTAAGACGAGATTCAGACTTTACAATATGTTCCAAAAGAGTATGGACAATTTCCTTCCCAATTTGTTTACTTGTGTGGCATTGATGTCGTTCTAGGTACCACTGAATGTCTTTGACATTAGGATCATTTACAATGAAACAAGATCCCTACGGTTCGTGCATCATGGGAACAAATGAAAGACTTTAGAGGTGATACAAGGAATGTTAACTAATCAGAGATACAATAGGATCGCTATGCAATAAGGATTATCATGTTAACGAGATAACTATTGTCAGTCCTGATGTGATCATGATTACTAGTTTGTTGAGAAATCGGGTGTTGGAAGATATACTAGTTGATCTTTAGTGGGGTAATCCTACAAGGTGATGCTAGTTCCTCTTTAGTACAAATAAAAGTTCCACCCATAGAATTGATTACCTGCTTGAGGATGTGTCTTTAAGGGCACGGATAAAGCTTCCAACCCCCCCCCCCCCCCCCAAATTCATTGGCCCTCCACACACAAATTGAGGATAAGGAGTTAAAAGAAGTACTCTGATAAGTGACAGAGATACATACGTTACTCTTGCTCAACTAATAAGGGTCAACTTTGGAACTGCAGCGTGGAAACCCGGTAATGAAAATGAATGAAAGAAATAGAAAGGAAGGGACAAGGAGTTCCAAAGGATCTAAAATAGAGATTAAGGGAAAAAGAGCACCCAAGAAGATGAGTCCATAGTTTTGTGTGTTTCGAGAGTCTCTTCATCTACCAATCGTGTGTCTAGGTCCATTATTTTGCATGATCCTGACTCGGGACTAGAGTTCTCGTCGAGGAAGTTGTGAGATATATTGTGTATTAGTCCATTACTTTGCATGATCCTGACTCGGGACTACAGTATCCCGGTTAATTGATGTAAATCCCCGGGCAGGTGTTTTAGTGGCCTGACTGGGTAACTTAGGAGGATCACCTATCCATACACTACATTTTGAAGTATCCACGAGTTCAATGGGAATTACCCGCCTGGGGAATCTGTCTTGGGTTGGTTTAAAAGAGAATTTCGAGTTTTTGGCGAATGATATAATTTTTTACTTCAAGAACAACCTAAGAGAGCTATAGTGAGAGAAAGAGACGAACGAAAAAGACCTTTGAGTTGATTTGAGCCACTGTTTCACCATTAAAGATTGATTTCGCCCCTCGGAGAGAAACTGACATCCCGAAGATGATCATACACACAGGGGCGGAGCTAGGATCTAGTGGTCGGGGGGGCCGGACTTTATTGTATAATATTCGTAAAAAAAATTAAGAAAATATTTACATTGTGAGTCATAAGCTTCAAAATTTAATTATATAGACTCCAAAATTTAATTATCTAAATTAGAAAAATATTATAAGCTCCAAAATTTCATTATCTAGTTTGAACTTTGAAATTAAAAAGTATTTGAATAAGTACAAAAGTTAAGTGATCAATCTAAATTTTAAACAAAAATTCAACCAAAGTAGGAAAACTAAAAAAACAATGTTTCTGCCAGGGATTGAACCATGGTACTGGGTATTCACAAATACCAAGCAACTGCATTCCGTTAGACTAGACCCAAACATTATTGCTCATTATTGCACGTTACTGTTATTCTACAATAGTTAACTTCTTCAGAATTTTCAAAATTCCCGATAATTTTACATGCGATCTCCAAAATTCTCGGGGGGGCCGGGGCCCCCCCGAGGCACAAGGTAGCTCCGCCCCTGCATACACATCTTCATGAGTATGAATCCTTCGATTCTGTTTTCCACTTTCTCCATGGAGTAAACTACTTTCTTTCACTTGGGTGTAAAGAACCTAGATCTGTATGTTAACAGCAATTTATCAACTGAATTCATGACTTTGTGATTGTTATATCTAATTAAGGCATTTTCCCAAACCCCCAAAACTAGGCGCTCACCCCTGCATCCCAACTCGCTGATAGGGCAACGAGTGAGGTCCTTAGTTAGAGCAAGTACCAATGCCTATTTATCTAATGAATCTTTTCCACAAAATTTTATCAAGTGGGATCCTAGGGCCACTTTGCTCTTGCCTTCCTTCAACCACTACCCATGACTTTGAATTGACGGCAGATGATGTATTTTCAACTCATAGCAACGCACTAAGCCATTATGAATTGAAATGTCGTTCGTTTCAATCTCTGGCATTCCTCCTTGGCCTTCAAATACAAGTTACAATATCCTTATAAGTAAACCCTTGTTCAAGCGAGGGACAAATCAAACCGCACAAAACTGATAGACCCCCGCCCACTTCAGAATGGTACGCAGGCAAAGTAAAGGAAACAAAGAGGACCTATTTCTGCTTACTCTTTAGGTTAGGTAGTAGGTGGCGATGAATATGCAAGAAAAAGCCTACAAATATCTTTCTTTCTTTCTTTCTTTAAGCTGGTTCCTTACAGTTACAGGAAGGAAGAACCATTTGCGTCTTCGTTGTCATTGTATCATGCCCTGGCCAACGTGATATGAACATGACGATCCATTCCATCTAACATCCGCAGTAACAAGTCACCACCACCAGTCCACCACTTCCTTCAAGTTCCTGGTTTTGGGATGGAATGGGCGGATGCACCAACTCGAAGGAGACTGTTAGGTGGGATTTTTATTTATGGTGGTACCTTTCTGTCTATCTATCGTGGGCTTGGCATTGTTGCTTGCTCACTTCACTTTGCCAAGTCATCTAATTACTGCTGCCATGGCACAGTGAAGTGGAAATTCATTCAACTGACAAAAATATCTAGCCAACCTCTCTTGTGCAAACTATAGTGGTTGCTGTTGGTATTTAATGTTGATGGCCTACCCTTCATGGATGATACAACAAATACATATTTAATTCACAAGAGATGCAGATGCAGATGCAGCAGCTCCATAATGGTAGCAAAGCATCTGTTTGATGTACTCGAAACCATTGCACCCGAACTTGGGACATTTAATAAACAAAGGTTAAGTTGATTGCAAGGCAGAGTAAAGGAAACAATATCCGTCGGCTGTAAAAGTGGAAACCCTATACCCTGTGGTGGTCAGTTCTGAAGATGGATCAGGTGAACTTCTAATACAATATACGATAGTGTTCTCAAAACTTTATACATATTCAGAAGATATACCCTAATCTAGATCATGATCGTTCACCCCACTGAGCTGCATAAGCTACAAGATGCTGTGGATTGCCGGGTGGGGGGCAGAACTGATCGATCATCTGAAAACGATGATGATGATGATGATGAAGAACATATAACAAAGATCGACTTGGGGCGGGTAATCAATCAGATGGAAGGAAGAAACATTATGGTAAACAAATTTACAGCGGTAAGACGAATTAGAGATCTCTTCTGCAAAGAGGGCAAGATGCGTGGCGGAGTAGCCATTTATCTATGCAGGGCAGATGAAACATGTGGTGACAATGTGGCAAGCTTCTAACTGTCTCTCCAAGCTGGAAGTCCTGCACGCACAAAATATGCCAGGAAAAAAAAATGCCAATTAGACCTTCCACCAGTCCATCTCAGTCTCACAACTATCAATCAATCAATCAATCACAACTATTACTTTCTAGTGTCTAACTAGAACACTGATTTCTTCAAAAGGAAAGGAGAGATAAGAGAGAGGGAAGCAAGATAGCTGACAAAGAGAGCTAACCTGAAGGCAAACTGAACAAGAAACTCTATCCCCAGAACCATCCACATTGTTTTTGCTTGTGATCTTGATTTTGGGGATTTTCTCCACTGAATCTCCAGCAAGTCCTTTGGCACCACCTGTGTCAAATAGGTTCGGGACCTCCTCAAAGCTTGTTTCTACAGCTCCCATCTGATCAGATTAAGGACCAGATTAGTAATCTGCCAAGTTGTCAAACAAAATATTCTTCTGAAGCAACTAATCATGCAGGCTTAAACTTACTTGACTTTGCACCGCGCTTAACATGGCAGGACCGATTCGCTCCCTCACAAGCCTTCCACTAAGAAGACTGGCAATAACATCAATCTGTCATCCACAAATACACCGAGTTGGTGACTTGATCATTTGTGTGTAACAGGCAATTTGAAGTACCCAGTGATATTCAGCTTATAACATGCACCAAATGACTGGATGGATATAAGGAACGGACAGAAATAATGAGAAAATTTGCTTACCAAGTACAAGATGCAGCCAATGCCTGATTCATCAGACTGCCAAAGGACAAGTGAAGATTCAAAGACTTCAATGGAGAAAACAGCACCAGATATGGCACCAACAGCAGCCCCTCTAACAAATCCACTCTCAGTTTCTTGACCTATCAAAGCTCCTGTCATGGCTCCCAACAAGGTCCCCACTGCAGCAGAGCATCGAAACACACATCAATCAATTTTTTAGATCCAAGAATGAAACGAAGCACATTCTATATTTGATACCAGGCAAGAATATTTTCTGGCTAGGGGTGTGCAACGGTTCGGTTCGGTCCGGACCGGACCAAACTCATGAGAACCGCGGTCCATTAGTGAAAGACATGTTAGGACCAAGGACCGGACCATTCTTGCATTTGGTCCATTTGGTCCGGTTCGGTCCGGTCCAAATATGAGCTCGGTCCACCATTTCTTCAGTAATTATTAAATTCATGAGGACCAAGGACCGGACCGCATTATACTCGGTCTGGTCCGGTCCGATCTTAACAACGGTTTGTTCCGGTGTGGTCCGGTACGGACCAGACCATTGCACACCCCTATTTCTGGCAACAATCTAACAAATACAAGTTCCTGAAGATTCAAATACCACCCTTCTGGATGCTCCATAAACATTACTGAACCCTCCAACAGGAAAAACAAAACGAAATTCTGCATAATTTTTCCCATGAAGAAGACACTTTGAGGCCTGGAATTAGAAACAGAAGTGAAAGTAAAGGAGCCTAAATAAGATAGAATTAGGAGAAATCTAGCCAGAAGCCAACATCAAAAACCCAGAGGAAATGAGCCCAGGTCCTAAAACACGAAACCCAGATACTCAAGAGTCCAATAATTCCATTTTAGCGACAGAAAATGCAGGAAAAAAAAAACAGCAACAAAGGACATAACCTCATTTCCCAGAGCAGAAGCGAGGAAACGAATAATAGAAATGGAGAAACCAACAAAGAGCAGGGTAAGAGAAGGGAGGCAATAAAAACCAACCTAATGCGAAGAAGAAGGTGAAGATCGCGGAGAAAACATTCCCAATAACCGCAGATAAGGCGAAGTTGCAAACTTCCTTAACTCTTTCGACGAAATCCCGACAGCAGGACAGAGAAGACACAGAAAACCGAGGAGGGTATGGATAGAATTCCATCTCTGCTTTCCCCTTTTTATTTTATATATATATTTATTATTTTCTCTAAGCCTTCCAGACACAAGATTGAGGTACAAGGAAGGAAGGAAGGGTGTTGTGTGATCTACAAAGATTTAGGCTTTAAGGTCGATATATATTTATATTGGACGCACAGACAAGGAGAGGGAGATGGCGGAAAAGGAAGGAAGGAAGAAGGGCTTTTAACGGGGATGGATGCTTAGGCGTTAAGAGAGAGGGAAGGAAAGAAAGAAAGAAAGAAAGAAGAAGGAGGAGGAAAGACTCCCATCAACCAACTCGCATTTAAAGCCTTTCCCCAAACAAATTTCTTTGTTCCTTCTCCCCTTATTATAACTTTCTTCGTCCCTCTCTCTCTCTCTCTCTCTCTCTCTACCCTTGTCGCAAATTGTCTCTCTGTGCGTTCCGGAAGGACTTTTTGGAGCTCTGAGTTGAAATGTATATATAAATTTCGCTTTCAGAAACCCACGGGAGCGAGGGGAGAGAGAAGAAGAAGAAGAGAAAATTAAAGCATTGGGAAGAAATTGTGACCATAACAAATAAGCTGCGGGGCAACAAAATGAAAATTTGATCACAGAAACGAAACCGAAACCTGTCAAATATGTAAGCTTGATTTCCAATCACACGTTTTCCTTCTCCTGCATCAAATTAACAATATGGGAGGGAGAGAAGGAAATGAAGAGCCAAGCCAAAGGTACGAGCTCGGATCGGATGTGGGGATCCGAATGCTTGGATTTCTCTGTTCCTTTTATGTTCTGATGACCAACTTTTTTGTTAAAATAACTGTTTAGGGTTGGCCACTACTGATTAGGGATGGCAATTTACCCACCCATGGGTATTTTTGCCCAAACCCAATTATATCCATTTATATGGGTTGGGTATGGATTTATTCTATTTGGATTTGGATAATATTTGGGTAGGTGGAGTTGGGTTTGGATTTTATTTTTGGGTATGGATTGGGCTTGGGTACCCATCTCCTTGGACCTACCTGTATATGTTTTTTTTATTAGATGTTAAAATATAAAACAAAATTTTTAATGTATTAAAATGTAATTTTCCACACATGATGCTGGACCTATTTGTATCTTCTTAAAAACTTCAGGTACTAAAATGTAACTTCTGCTACAGCGAGTCAGCGACCATCGTGTTCCAGCTCTTCGTCGGCTGTTTCGACGGTGCCGGACGTCGATGCCTCCGCTTCCGACTGACAGGCGAGGATGATGCCGCCGGACGCCGGTGCTCTCCGGAAGCTGGTGGGTGGTGGGGATTTCACCCGGCGGCGAGGCTCCAGCGGGGATGCTATCGGAGGACTCGGTGTTGATGATGGAGGAAGAATCAGAATCGCCGCCGTCGTCGTCCTCCGGCCGGTCATCGATCTGGGATCTAGCTAGGATCGGTCCGACGTCATCATCAACACCGAGTCGTCCTCCGGCCGGTCATATGATGTTCTGGACCCGAAATTGGAAACTCAATTCCAAGTGAAAGTCCTGAAAATATGGGAGAATTAATTAACCTGCTAGTATGCTACTGTCAAAAATATGGAAAGTGACAAAACGTCCACTATCCACAAAATATATCAACCTGCTAGTCTGCTACTGTGAAATAGTCAAGAGGTAAGTTAACAAGTGAACACAAGACAACTGATGGAAGCCAAGGAAGGGGAAAAGTGAACACAATACAAGCATCCAGAAACCAAACTTTGAATTTGCCAAACTGTCCCTCCTACTCAGATTGTATTCATCATCCATTCCTATATTCCACTAGGAGAAAAAGAAAAGTTGATCACCAATGTCCTTAATCAATTTAAACACAAGAGCCAAGGTGAAACCCTGCCCTTTGTACTCCAGTTCATTTCAGGCAAACCCCAAGTCCATTCATTCCAAGCCTCCACAGAAACATAAACCTATTAACAAGCAGGAAACATAAATCTAGAGAATAGTACACCTTTCTCAATACAATATTGCATCCCATCTATTAACAAATAGGACCTGGGTTCACAAGCAGGAAACATAAACTCATAAGGTGTGAACCCTGATGTCAAATGCGCCAATCTGCAGCCTGGAAACAAGCTCTGCCTAGGAAAAAATTAATTAAGAACCCTACCAACCTTTATATTTGCATATAGATCAACCACAACCATGCTCAACAATATCCTAACTAAGTTTGACCTCAATGTCTCTGTCATTCATAGACGACTCGTAGGTCTAATAAGTAAGTCGAGTTTAACGATGTAGCCTTTCTATCTACCATATCATTAGATTAGATTATCATACAAATAGGACCTGGGTTTTGCAACCCAGAAAACAGGACTACTGGAAGACAAAAGGACAGGGGAATGTGATGGAAAACTAGTTGAAAAGGAAAGGTATAAACAGAATCAAAATGAGTGTTTCCAAGCAAAACCAAGCAAAACAGACGTTGGACACGTTCAGCAACCAAACAAGCAGCAAACGTTGCCAATCACATTTTCCATTAACATTAAACTTTCATTCAAGCTAAAAACCAATCACAGTTCATACCCAATTCACAACTAAGACCCATTCAGAAACCCTTTCCCCTGAATAAATCCTCTGAACAGAGTTCATAAGACCCAGTTCAAAAACATAGGGTAAGATGAACAATACCTGGAGCCTGGCGGAGTGGGCTTCGTCTCGAGATTGAAAGGGAGAGAACGAGCAGGTGATTCGCGAAGCTGTTGGCGATCTTGTGAGGGTAGGCGACCAGACCCTCTTGTTCTCTAGAATCCCACCGATTGACAAAAGAGAAAACGGGTGCCCCGAGATCGAAAGGGAGAGGAAGAACCGACGAATCGCGAAACCGCCGGCGGTGTTGAGGGGGTGGGCGACGAGGCAAAGCGACCAGATGCCCAGACCCACTTGTTCTTCGGAATCCGACCGATCGAGAGGGATAGGAGGAGCTGGCGTCTGGCGAGTCGCGAAGCCATCGGCGGTATTGAGGAAGCCGACGATGGTTGCTCCCCGAAATCCGATCGATCTGAGAAGTGAGAAGGGTCGAAGGGAACTGGCGGTCTGACGTCTCGAGATCGAGAGTGATAGGAAGAGCTGACCGTGGGCGATGTTTTTTTCCTTTTCGTTTAATTATTTGGGTTTGGGTTTGGGTTTTTTAACCCAAATCCATGGGTAAAACCCAACTGGACCCAACATTATGGGTATGGGTGTTGACCCATTAGACTTTACCCATTTAAAGTTGACTTGGATTTCAGACCTGACCCACATGGGTTGGATACTTAAAACCCAATGGGCATGGGTAATTTTGCCATCCCTACTACTGATGACTCATCTCACGGAGAAAATATCTCTCATTTGTTTTGTCTTTTTGTTTTGTTTTCTTTCTTGTGGCGCTATCCAATTTCAACCTGGTTTCGATTGAACTCCATATCACCACCGAACGCTAAGAAACCTGTCACGGATTATTTTCAAATGAAGCCAAACCTATACATATGCACTAGAATGAAGCGGTTTATTAACGTCGCCATAATTTTACTATTATCGTCCTAAATTAAAACATAAAATTACTAGATTAACCTTAATAAATTAATCGAAAACCAACAAAACAAACGCCCTTAAAACTAAAATCCCTAAACCCCGAAGAATATAGGAGCTGAGTTTCTGGGCATCAAGTAATAAGAGTAACTGAGCAAGACTGCTTTCCCTAAGCTGACGCATCTGGAGTTTAACATGTTTGTTTCGTGGGAGGATTGGGATAGGTATTCATGCTTCATCCCCATCAAAAGCTTAGTGTCCTCCCCAATCACTGCCACCCAATCCGCCGGCAAAGAGATTCGACGGAATAAAGAAGTAATGTATCACCGTCGAATTTCCCCTGCTTCACTCGCTTGCTCGGTTCCACCAGAAAAGTAAATTCGCACATGGCTACTGACAAGGCCCCCGCCTCCTCTGCTATGCCACCGCTTAGAAGAGGCTCGTATCCGCTCCCGAAGTTGTTCAAGAGCCGGAATTTTGAGGCCTTGGCCTGGTACTTGTAATTCATATTTGATTGATCAAGAAATCGATCGTTGAACTGATTGTTTATGAGTGTTGTTGATAGTTTCTAGTTTCGTACAGTGCCTGATCTGAGACTTCAAAATTCAAGGGGTTAAGCAGGAGAGAGTACAAGATAAGAGAAAGAGGTTAAAAATGTAAATTTAATTAGGGCGATGATTAGCAATCCCCATTAACTGAAATTTTTGGAAGTAAATATATATATTGGGTATGATAAACTAATCCGAAAAAAGTTGTTATTGAAAAATTAAAAACGAACTTATATCATAGCATTTTATCACATTCTAACTGATTCACGCATGTAAAATTCGTCGTGTCAATGTATTTAACATTTTCTAAGATTCGGTCTTTAATTATCCCTTATCTTCATAAATGCGTACTCACTTATGAGGTTCGTGATGTTATAGTCGGTGAGCTTGATGTCGAGCTTGAACTCCATTCCTCAATTTGTACTCACTTTTTGCCATTGTATTGTAATATTTTTTTTACCCAACATTTCAAGTTCACATCAAGTATAACACCAACTTTTGCATTAGATGTTATACAAATTTCTCTAAATATTGAGAAAGGTTTACCATTTGAATATTAATGATTCCTTATATTACAATTGGTATTTACCTCCTCTATATTCTTCATTTCCCATTCATCAGAGCTCTTGTCATGTTTAGTGTTGATTGTTGGTTGGGTTTCACTTTTGACTCTCATTAGAGGATGTGGTGCATATGTATACAAAATTTTATTTTTCTAAAACTCCCAGCTTGTAACACACAACAAATATACATAGATTCAAATACCTAAATTTCACATTACCCAAACTCAACCGGTTTAAGAATTTGTAGACTTGTCAATAGCAAGGTAGCTACAAATTATATATTAGCACTAAATAAAGACTATCATTAGTGACGAAAATTAGCGACGACAACTAAATTTCATTGCTAAGAATGACTTTTATTGACAAAATTTTATTTTCGTCAATAATGCTTCGTCAAGGATGTGAGCATTTGTGGCAAAAGCTAACCTCATCGGTAAAGAAGAAAATTCTCGTCGCTAAGCTCATTATCTTGAGAAAAGTTTGGCACCATGATTTTTTTCTGACGAATAAACAATTATCGTCAGGAATGTTTCGTCAAGTTATTAATGTGTACCTGTGACCAAATATATACTCGTCGGCACGAAACTACACCGCGAATTAATGCCGACTAGAGCCCAAGTTTTTAAACTCTAGTCGAATGCAATATAGGGCAAGTATTTAAATTGTCAAACCGGGCCGGTCCATGTACCCCTACTTCAATCGCTTAAGTTGTTATCTAGCAAAACGGTTTTGGGTTTAAAACTAATAAACCTACAAATGAAAACAAGCAAGTAAGGTAAATTGAGGTTGTCCCAATGAGATAAGAGTTCACTCGGGTGTTGCTCCCCCTAGCTAAAAATTACGACTTGAAGAATCGAACGACCGTGTGTGGGTTAGGGGGTCATAAACCACAAGGAAGTCTAACAAGCCGCCGAGCTATCCTCTTAGCCTCTAGGTTGAGGAATGAGATACGATCCAAGCCACTAATGTGACCCTCTCAACCTATCAACTAATGAATGGTTAGACTTCACCCTCGAATTAGAGTTCGGACGGCCACCAACAACCAAACCCTAAGTGCTAATAAGAATTAGGGGGTTGAGTTTGTGAATTGATTATATTCGATTGAGGTTTGAATGATTGAATGACTTGAAT